ATAATCTTACACATTCTGAAAACAAGATTATTATTCTTACACAATCAGTTCTTATTTAGTAAATCAGCCTCAAAACAAGATCAAAAAGACTTTTTGGCTGGAAATAAGATTTTAAAACTTGGTAAGATGGACATTTTTTGCAGTGTTTGACATTACCTCTGTCGTACTGGTTAAATATTAGCAACAAAATGTGAGCATACAACTTCAAATGTTTTCAAATACATTAGTCAACAATAGACCATTTTGTGTGTTTCTTTTTCCGTGTGCATAATGGAATCAAACTTTTCCAGGTCAAGAGCAGCTGGAAATGCCATTGGAATTGAGCAAATTTATCAAACCCAAAAAACATTTCTAGCTTAAAGAAACAGTTATGAAAATTCTCATCTAAGCAAATTTTTCTCATGTTAGCAAAGATGCTGCTAATATCACTTTAACATGTTCGATTTTATTTATGAAGCTTCAGTAAAGCCTGTTTTCAGCACATTTTATTGCCTCTGAACCACACTAGACCTATTTTCAGAAACATTAGCTTGTCAAATTAAGCTAGCTGTTATGTTCCTTCATTCTGATCCCACCTCCTTGCTCACTTGGCTGTGCCCCCCAGTGTCTCTTGGCACCACCCTCTTTGTTGGCGTTTTTAAAATTTGCCTGGGTGCGGACCAACTATAACCTCTGTATTAGATTTCCTCAATAATATTCTAAGCTGGTCAAAGTGGAACCAGAGAGACTATGTCTAAAGCTAAAGGTACTCTGAACTTTTTCTTTTGTTACAGCTGACATTTGTTCCACTAAGACACCATCTAATGGTTCTTTTTTGTTTTGCTRTCACTTAGAAGCCAGTCATAAAAATGGATGACTTCTACAGATTTAGTTTCTGGTATTCTGACATCAAGCATTAGATGTTTTGACAACAAAACAGGCAGAGAGTAATGGAGGAAACTAGATGAAACCAGGATCTGAATTCTCACAAAGATGATTTACTCTTCAGAGACTGATGTCAGTGATGACGATGAAGAGGAACCACGATTGTCACAACTTCAGCAACACCAAGTGGAAGAAAGTGATCCTGCAACCAGCAGGTGATCCTGCTGGTTGCAGGATCACCAGGGGTGAATTTTGTGGACATAGATTTAGCCACAAAACAACTTTAAACAAACATATGAGGATCCAAACATGAAAGAAACCATTTGCACGTGATGATTGTAACCAACAAGTTAGCCTTAGAACAAACTTCAACAGATACATGAGGACCCACACAGATGAGAAATCTTTTGCTTGTGATGTAGGTGAACACACATTTAGCCAAAAAACAAACTTAAACACACACATGAGGATTCACACAAGAAGCAAATCAGTGGTTTGCAACGACTCCTGAAACAAACATGAAAAGCCCAACAGAAGGGAGGGAACATACTGTAGATGTGAACACGAACAAACGTCTTAATAACACAGCTCTTCACACACATCTGAACCTTAAAGCTTTCAGGGTTTGTTGGTAACAATAGTTTTTATTTTTATTTATAAAGTTTATTCATTTAAAACAAAACAACACAAATTCAATATACAATAAAAATACAAATCGTAAATTAAATGAAAGGTAACAGAAGAAGAAAAAAATGTTATGATTTCTGCCCCTCTTGATCAAATAAATAAATTCAATCAAAAAATATTTTTCAATTTACAAAAACGTACAAAAAATAAAAGAAGAACAACAAAGATTTAATTCCTTCTTGAGCAACAATTCGTACATTATACCCATACATATTTCTCCAACACCTTTTCATTCTCTTAAATATACACATTGATATGGCATTTTTAATGTCATCTTCCAGATTATTCTATAATTTAATTCCCTGGACTGAAGTACTCCGTCCCCTCAAACTGGTTCTAATTTTAGGTTTGACAAACATTTCTATCCCCTTCAGATTGTAACAACTCTCTCTTTTAACAAAATGTAATTGGATGTTTGAAGGTGTTTTTATGGACCCTATACATGACTGACAAAATACCATAATCAACCAAATCATTGAATTTCAATAACTTCAACTGATTGAACAAAATAAAATAAAAATAAATAAAATGTAAAATAAAAACAGGATTTGTTATTAAACGCTTATCCCCAAACATCAACACAATAAATTAAATGTGGAACAATTATTTCATTATACAACATAAACAGTGCTTTATCAAAAAATTAGTCCCTTACTTTGTATAATACTGTAATGGATTTGGCTCTCCATTTCAGTTTTTCATCAAGAATGACACCCAGAAACTTCACCTAACTGACTCTACAGATCTCAACACCATCAACTCTAAATGGAACATAGACAGTTTTCTTTCTATTACTAAATATCATATATTAGTCTTATCTAAATTTAATGATAATTTATTAAGTTTAAACCAGGTTTGTATTTTAGCTAATTCTATTTACCAACATCCGTTCTATATCTATAACAAAACAAAAAAAAATGTAGTATCATCTGCAAATAAAACACATTTGAACAACCCTGACACCTTTACTAAATCATTCACAAATAAAGTAAATAACTTTGGCACAAGTACAGAACCTTGAGGAACTCCACATGTGATATCACCCAATTCAGATCTTGTATCATTTATTTGTACAAACTGTTTCCCGACCTTTAAATAAATAAATACTCATAGCGCTGGTCTTATAATACCATATTTTTTCAAGTTTTCAAGAAGAGTATTGTGGTCAATAGTGTCAAAAGCTTTCTTCAAGTCAACATAAATACTAGCACAGTATTGTTTTTGATCAGCAGCAATTGTTATTTGCTCTATTAAGTCTATGAGAGCCATTGATGTGAAATTATTGGCTCTAAACCCATACTGACTGCTACTTAAAATATTATGTTTATCAATAAATTGATCTAATCTTGTCAAATAACTTCTCTAAAATCTTTGAAAACTGTGGTAACAAGGATATTGGTCTGTAATTGTTGAACATACATTTCTCACCATTCTTAGAAAGAGGAATTACCTTGGTTACTTTCATGTGGTCTGGAAACATGAGTACTGCAGACATAATTTGCCAGAAACTGCTCTACTTTTACTTACAGCTTTCAGGGCTTTGTTGTTTTTGTTGTTTTTCCACTTCATTTAGCCTTGTAAATTTGTCAAGAAATAAAACTTTGGCAACAGATGTTTTCTATGTAATCAATTTAAGGCACTTTTTGGTCATTTATCCTTGTCCTCTGACAGACAGGTTGGATTCTCTGATGGGTTTTGTTTTTCTTCTACCTGCTTATTTTTTGTCCCAGAGTTGGAAGACGTAACAGGTTGTAACTCTAATGAACCTTTTTTAGTTGTGTCCTTGTAAAACTGACCTTTTTTGGGCAGAGACGGTCAGTAATTAAGTAAATTTACTTGAGTACTGTGCATGAGTACAGTTTTTAAAAAAGTTGTACTTTACTCGGGTGGTATTTTCTTTGGGAAACTTTTAACTTTTACTCCACTACATTTTAAGAATAAAATCTATACATTTTGCTCCACTACATTTCTCTAAAGGCTTTGGTTACTACTTTTTTGGCTGTTTGTGTAGTTTGCATCTATTTTGTTCCTCCGACACACTGTAAAATTACACACCACACCCCATACAGTACCTCTTTAAACTGGTTGCAAAGAAAATAATAATAATAATTTATGTCCTACACTGTTTTATATGTACACTACAAGTACTAAGTATGTTTCAACACTATTTCAGGTATTTGTTTAGATCCTGCTAGTCCTCCTGATTTTAACATGGATTAATCTAATTTAACACATAAGTTAGAGTATTTTAGACTTTGTCTCTTTTTTCTATTAAAGGATTTGGTACAAAAGAGTTTCTAGTTTATTGTAACAGATATTTTCAATTCAGCAAACATATTATGTCATTTTCTCCTCACCAAAAGCCCTACAGAACAAAAATATACAGCAGAGTGTTCCTTACCTGAAGTACAGTTTGATGTGGTCCAGCATTGTTTTGCGGTGCCTGTAAACCTTCTCGTGCTCCTCAGCGAACAGCTCCTCTGAGTACAGTGGCCGGACCACCACATACTGCTTGGCTCCTGATCGCATCATGTTGCCTCTGCTGTCCCGAGGACCCCTGCTGCCGCTCTACGTGGCTCTGAGATGTTTAAATCACATTAAGTTAAGAAGAGGACCCTGTCCTACCTTTGAACATCACTTATCAAACATGATTAACAACAAACACCAAAGCTCCAGAGCTGCAAATACAGACAGGAGGCAAAAACCAGGTAAGGACCTGCACTCTTTCTACAGCTGAAACAAAACCCGAAAGGCTTGTTAGAAACGGCAACATTAAAATGTTTTAGCTACTGGACTTTACAAGATCAATTTTTAATTATTTAAAACTAACTAACTTTTAAGTACATTTTATGTTTAAACTAAGAAATTGTAAACATTTCTTTTTTTTGGGTGGGGGTGGGGGGGTAAGTTAAACTGATGAAAGATCTTAGCTGGGTGTTCTTTGCTGGATTATTGTTTCGTAATGAGTCAAGTGTTTTATGAGATCCTTGTCTTAAATTCTTACATCTTTCTTCAAATGATGTTAGGCTTTAAATCTATTTATGATAGATTTTCAATGTTCATAAAATACAGCTCATCTTATATCACATACCTGATATGCTCTGACTATGTCCCACAGGTTCCACGTTCTCTTCCTCTCGCTGCAGCAACTGGAGATTATTTGGTACCTCAGACAGTTTGGACATCTATAAATGCCACCTCGGCTGCTTATCAGAACTGTAATTATTAACAGCAATTACGATGGAAGTGCCTGTACAGACTAGATGCCTGCCTTGTCCTTGACCATTGTTCGCACCAAAATGTATAAAGTGCAACTTTTAGGAGAAAGGAGGATGTGAACAAAACAGGACAGGACACTGCGAATGTTACAAAGTGGAAAGGAAGTAGCCTTTCAGGAGGAAAAAAGTACTGCTAGTGCTATAAGAAGGGATGGAGTTTTATTGATCAAACCTTGTAAATGAAATTATGCACAGCCTTGTGATATCGTTCGTGCTTGGAGTATGTGTTGAGGATGACTCTCAGCTAATTTCTGTCAAACTGATTGAGGTATAGTTGTTTTTGTTTCATAACAGTTCAGTTGGTGGTAGAAGCCATCTTGAATGAGACTGACTCCAAAATCTGATCAGTTAAAGATGTCTATCCAGTGATTACTTTCTTTTTTTTTTACTTTCAGTAAAATCTTTATTGGTTCATCAAATATATTACTAACAGAGAGAAGCACACACAAAAGCAAAAACATTGTCCTTTTGTTTACTGGCAGGCAGTCGAAATATCTCATAATCTAATTAAAGACTGAAAAATAATTATAATTGTCTGAAAATGTTCTGTAAAGCTGTATTAATAATGCTGAAAAGTAATATTACGAACTGTAACAAATGATAAACATGTATGTGTGTGTACTTGGTTTTTGATACCTTTTTAGGATGTTTAGGACCATTTCTGGAATACACAACCAACCTTGTGAGGACCAGTGGTTCTTTTGGGGACTAAAGACCAATCTTGATATGGTGGAATACCATTGGTGGTTTAGGGCTATGGTTAGTTATGTAATGGAAATCAATTCATGATCCTAAGAAGAATAGAAACACAAAACTTGTGTGTGTGTGTGTGTGTGTGTGTGTGTCCTTGTTTTTCCTACATCGTGGGGCCCAGTTTTAAGGAAACCGCAGCCTCGTGGGGTCCGGGTGCTCCTTGTGGGGCCCAAAGCCTGGGCTCCACAACTTCAGAGGCTGATTTTGGGTGTGAGGGTTGGGTTTAGGACCAAGGTGTGAATTGAGTTTAGGTTAGTTTTAGGGTCAGGAAGGTACCTGGGAGGTTAGCCGTAGGGTTTGTGGTCAGGGTTAGGATATAAAATTACCAAAAAATGAATGGAAGTCAATGGACGGGCCCCACAAGGATATAAAAAACAAGTGTGTGTGTGTGTGTGTGTGTGTGTGTGTGTGTGTGTGTGTGTGTGTGTGTGTGTGTGTGTGTGTGTGTGT